AAAATGGCTTTCTTCAGGATGAATAGTGTACCAAAAAACCGTGACACTGCGGATCAGTATTAAAATCAGTTAAATGGAACCTATTGTTATATATTAAGTCTCTTGATTACGAAAAAAACAATTGACAGCGTAGATCGGAGGACATTGTGGAATCTAATTAAATATAACGGAGTACCTGAAAAGATCGTACGACACTCCTATAAAGCCCTGGATTGGAAACTCGTGGATGGGGGCAGCTCACAAATGTGACGCACGTGAATTCTTATGTCCGACAACTCTGGTTACCTTCGTCATTCCTCTTGCTTCTGAAGAGCTAAACATCTCAATAGAAGCATGGAATACAGTGGATACTCAGAAAACAACAGGCCGAATCGAAATTCGCAGATTACTTGGTCCTTCTATCCTACAAACAGTAACTAAATGTAGGCGAAGAAATCCAGGGTCCCAAGGGCCTCCAGAGAAGTAGACCTTATGACCTACAATTAAACACAGCGGGCAGTAACCAAATCACACTTGATGACGAAGCTATGGATAGGATGGAATCCTTCATTTTCCTGTACAGTACCAGTGATAAACATGAAAGATATCATGATACGAATTGGGAGAGCAAGGACAACATCCCTACAATTGAAGAACGTCTGGAATTCAAAAGAACTATCGGTCAACACCAGGGTCAGATTTCTTAACACTAACTTTGAAACAGTCCTACGTTTTGGGATTGACACTTAGATAACTATCACGATCGTCACCAAGGAGGTACAGATAATATTAAACATCCTCTAGTGCAAGATACTCCGGGTCTATTAAGCAGGGGCTCTCAGCAGTAAACTACTGTCATAAAATGAACTATCTTACAGTCGATGAGTGAATTAAAAAATACTCTGGAGGTGGTTAGATCAAAGTTTACGGAAATGACTGAAAGGCAAGACGGAATTCGGAATAGTTATGGTACAATGGAAAGAGGCAGGCCAAAGAACAAATTGAGCTGTTGGTGGGAGGCAGACTTCAAGAGCGTAAACAGCACTTTGGAATAAGTTGGAAAAAGCTCTCCTGACAGAGTTGGTTGAAGATCTCTAATCTATGGCCTATACTCTTCAAAGGGTAACAGGCTAAATCAAGTAAACAAGAAATATCATCTAAGAAGCCCTCACTAAATGATTAATTATTGGTATATCGATAGAATTAGTTTAACACAAATGATCATGACGTTTGTCCTATACATGTTGTTAATGTCCCGTGTTTTTTAGGCAATTTGTTCTACTTTAATACACAACGAGTTTCATTGATCACTTATTAATGTTGACGTAATGTTTACCGAACCAAACCAATTCAATATTTATATCTACGTAATTGCGTGTAATTAAAATGTTTGCAAATCAACACACAGAGTTAGGACAGTTAAAAGTGGGCGAATTTAGAAAATACCTTAATGCTTGGTTGGCAGACATTAAAACTGATGTAAGAGTTCGCACACATCCGACAATATTTCTGAAAGAAAATTTTAAGTGATATTAATTTAGATTTTTTCATAATAATTTTTCAGAAACAGTGTCTGAAGTTGTCGATTTGAAAATATACTACTCACAAGTAATACAGTTGTTTTAATGAAAACGGTTGTGCATTGCATCACCCAGTTGGAGACAAAATTTAACGGTCTAATTATTTGTAGTATGTATTGTGATAAAACAACCCCTAAAAGTGCTACACGATTCAAGTATTTACACGTACAGCATGGCGATGGGTTGAGACAAATTTATTGTAGTCTTGTGAAATGGGACGTTCATTTTGCGAAGCAAATATGTCCGTCTTTTTTACAGAATGGAGTTGCTAACGCCACATTCAATCTTACTTTATTCGAATTTGTGACCATCAGTAACCCTAAAAGGACTATAGTTGTAGTTACAGTGTTATGTGCCAGATAAAATTTATTAAGTTTGCCTAAGATAAATGACATAAATATCCCACTAACGAAAAGTTCAATGAAGAAACTTCCGAAAACCTAGTGAGAAACTACCTTAGCCTGTCTAAGTTGAAACTAAACAGTAAAGTATTATTTTATTCCAATTCCCATATAATTCAACCCTGGAAAAATTGGTACAGACGTTTAATATCAAATTAGTGGAAAGAAATAGAGATCTCTTCTGGTGAAAATCTGGTTAATATTACCAATCAACATTAGATAAATCCACATCTTCAAAAAAGAACTAATACAGAAACAAATCAGTATTTGACAATAACATTTTTAAACCGATATAAATTAAGTGAAACGCTTGTAAATATGCTGTTAAGTAAATCTGCACTTAAATTAATACTGGTTTTGAGAAATCAAGTTAGTTCAAGTAAAAGGCAATTTAAAAAACCCAGAAGAATAAGTTTACAAATTAGAAGCTATTGAGGAATTATGAGGACGATTATTCTATATAGAGAAATTTGACAATTGCAATCTAGTGAATTTAAATCAGCCTTTACTATTTGCTCGTCTAATCATATAATAAAATTGACACCTGTATTCAGAATTTATCAACTGTTTATAAGTCGGTAACAGCAGCGGATATAACGGAATTGCACTGTAATTATTGGATTTCGTGCATACCGTTAAATTCGAATTTGCTTCTAGGAACGCCCCGAATGACAGAGTTGTTTCCCCTTCATTTAGTAAGCTGTAGTTTTGATGAATAAAGAAGTGCTCGATAGCTTCAAATCCATATTATTAGGCTAATCTTTGCTATTATCATACTGGTTGTATTCTCTACTAGTTTTCTGCCTCATTATACGCTCATAAAAGCATTGTTGTTACTATTACACGTAAAAAGGCCGTATTACAACTTAACTTCCGAGAATCAAAGGGTTTGCTGGTACAGAAACTGTTGTTAATTTTAGTTTTTTATCCTAAAATTGGGCGACTTATAACGTGACCTTTAAAAAAACTTGACTCGTCAGAAAGCAGCAGATACGACTGAAGAGATAGATTAAGTCGAACAGTATATTGTTTCTACATGATTAATTAGCTTTCCTAAGTTTGTAATAGGTTCTTGACCGTCAGAGCTTTTTGTCAATTTATATATATACTAACCCATGATTCAAACCATAAACTGTACTATTGATCCTATTCGAACTCTAACAAAAATAGCAGAGAAATATCACCTCATCAAGAATTTTTTCGCACTCGCTCACAATTGTCATTTTCATATTTACAGGCGAGTATTGTCCTCAGCAATTCAATGTGAATTGAATTACTTAACGTTTTCTCAACTAGAATTTCTTCACTATAAGGTCGATATCCTGATATGATATCGTTCGATAATGTTCATTCTAGTTTAACTTTGGAATCGTTTCTTCGACTATAATCGGCTTGGGGTTATACTTAAATATAACCGAATCACGTTCTCTTCTCTTTGATTGCGATTTCTGGAGGAATATTAGTTTTGCTTTCGTCATGTAATAGAAGCAGCTAGTGAGCAAGAACTGAAGGGATGAACTTTACCCATTTTTAATAAGATGGAAGTAAAACAATAAGAATTTCAAATCACGAAATGACTTAGATATTGGAAACTATGGAGCATCATATAACTCTTCAGTCTTAGTTTGGGACTCATTGTTCACTCATGATTTCTCCAGACGTTCGGGATCCGAGGCAAGCGCTTAGAATTCTGACCACTAATTTGGTGTACGGTAGTTGACATTCCTAACAATCATCAACATCAACTTAGCATTATACACACAAGTGGATTCCTATAGCGTATACACAAATTTGTTGTAATTCGGAGCTTTGTTTATTAAAAAGATAACCTAAAAATTAATGTTGTAATAATACTATTGACATTACTTGACAGGAATGCCTTAGCAACACACTTGTACTCAAATTTTCATTCACACATTCGACTATGACCCACATTTCTTCTGCAAAAGATAATGGTTGCATCTTTATGCCTAAACTTAGACAAATGAGACGGGAACCAATCAAATCTTTGGAATTTATTTGCACAGATTAATAAGATATAATTTCACCATGATATATATGATGGAAAATAACTATAAGAACCATTTGTGGACATTCTGGTACACATCGACATACACACCTAAGTGTCATAAGTTTGACTGAATTAACATGCAATCATTCATTTATGAACATCGTAGAACGTGACAAAAGTAAATATCGGTTCTCAAATTACATCAAAACAGGATAGAAATTTTAAAAACGTCTAAGTAAAGATATGTATGATAATAGAAAAGTAAGAAACAGTAAAAGGAACTAAACACAGGGTTTAAATGGCTTTAAGTATTCTTCTACGCCAGACTGATACCATAAATTGGCTCGGCTGTCTCGAACCTATTACCAACTCACTCAAACACTAATGAATACAACGTACTTGAAGAAGTGCCATTGTGATTAGACAAGTGGGCATACAATTAATAGGATACAATTTTGAATATAGTGCCATTTATTTCAGTTTGGGAAGCCGCGTAGTATTGTCAGTCTTCATACAAAGCGTGGTTAAAACCCTTCATAAAATCCTGTACTTCGCAGATGAGTCACATGGGATATTGAGGCAGGAAGTGGTTATATATGGGTAGAGTAAGCTTTAACTATTTAAGTTGATGAAGGTTTAATGTTGAGTCGAGTCCCAATAGGGTATATTGTGGAACACGTTAAAAATAATCTAATTCTGTTTGGGTACAATTTATACTTTTGAATAATCCATGCCGAAATATCATAGTTATTTTATCACTAACGATATACCCATACCACAGAATTTGAACACACGAAAATACCTTTTAAATTTTCGGTTACATACAATATCATGAAGATACCATATGCAGTAAAATAAAAGTCAGAATAAGAATTGATTTCTTTTATACAATATCGCAATATTGAAATTTAACTGGCATTACACAAATTTAGAGTTGAAGTGAGAATACAAACTATTAAAGATATCCTACTACTTAGGGTATTTATACAGTAAATAATAGAATATTAAAACTAGAAACTATCGGCGAGATCATTTAGGTTGTTCTATATCAGTAAAAGCTGTTTTTAACATAGATTGAATTGTAGTCAATTTTTCTCTTGGTTTATCGAGTATTTGACCGGCTAATTTTTCTGCTTCATCAATACGTTCCCAATTTTTAAATTTTACAACATGTATATCTACATTAATTGAAGAAAAAACAATAATAAAACATGCAGAATTTCGTTAAACTATGACCGAATAAATTATATTCTACAAATTATTAAATATAGGTTTGTGTAATTAGCTTTAAGGAATACATTTTTTATTAGTGAGGAATAATACTACTGTGGTGGTACCCTCAGATTTAAATCAACAACTTGCAGGTTCGAATTAGACACCATCAAATTCAGTTTGGACATAAAAAAACTGCTGACCCTCACACAAGAAATGGGTAGTTGGAAGTCGAGCAAACAAACGTGTAGATAGTTAACAGATTTTCTAAAAAAGTAGAAAACACATTTTTCCATCACAGATCTTAATTTAGGACAAAATAATTCCAATTCTTATGATTTCTAAGCATAACTATACTGTAGGGTGACACAATTCATAATCTTTATTTCCTTCATTGATAATTTTAATGGATGAATATAGACCCGTGGAGATTCAGTCGTAACTTTCCATTATATTATTTACAAAAAATAAAATAACTTCAAAATAAGTAATTTTTGTCCTGATCATCTATTCATACTTTAAATTTCTTATTCATTTATCACTATTTCTCTAAAGTAATTAGTCCCTTTGATAAATTTCGATAATCTAACAAGAAGACGAAGATTATCAGAACTATGTCATATATTGCCCCCGAATGCCCTGGTACGTCCGAGAGTGGGAAGAGTCTGCTCTCAATCTCGAAATGCTCTCACATGGCCACGCGTATAGAGCCTCTGCCAGAGTAGTCTTACTCACTGCCTTCTCGTGGCCGGGGTGTTGTTTATAAAAATGAGAGGACGAAAAGCGAATGTTCGACGCTTTAACCGGATCCCAAACCAATGGTGCACATGGGCTCCAGTATCCTGCGGGATCAAATGGCGTATGAACCAATCGTTGGTCACCGGCTTCCATGGGACTGCATCTTCTCACGATGCTCCACTGCCTTGTGGATCAGACCCTCGAGTCAAAGGCTCGGGGTGTGGCCCCCTAAGATAACCACCTGCTTCGGTCTGGGCACCCGGGCAGTATCACAGCCCTCACACATATCGAATGAGATTTGTGTGGCGCATATGTATTTTATTCCTACTGTCTATACTTATTTTTTCGACTTATACAGCAGCTCGTCTACGGTGGAAACTCGACTGTATCTAAACGTTCTCGAGTCACTGTCCGGTTGAAAATTGTATGTTACCACTGAATATGAGTACTGAAGCAGTTTTCCTGAAAACATGTGCACCATTCAAACTGGCTGCCTTCAACGTTCACACACTTATGCGGGTTGGACAACAGATAGGGCTGGCTGTCTTTGGGAAGTCTTAATATCGATGTCTGCTGTCTATCCGAGACCAGTATTCAAGACTCTGGTGAAGTACTACAAATTTGCTCTTCATCTGTCGCTTCGAAAAGCTTGTTTTACGTGCGCATATCCGGGGACCCCGTGACATCTTCATCTGGTCTTGCTGGCGTTGGTGTCGCACTAAGCGCTAGAGCTGAGGCAGCACTAATCGGTTGAATCCCCATTAAAAATCGGTTATGTGCTCTTTTTAAAGATGGTGGTGACTTTCTGACTAAGGAACTGACGACGTTGTTTACAAAGGTGTGGGAGCTAGAGAGTGTACCAACGTCATGGAATGAGTCGATAGTTGTCCCTGTCTTTAAAAAGGGTTCACGTCGTTCCTGTAACAACTATTTGGGGATAAGTCTACTTCCGATTGCGTCCAAGCTATTGGCTTCCGTCATACTTCGTACACGAGAAAGATTGACTTGCGAGGAGCAGGCTGGGTTTCGTTCTGGTTAAGGATGTATTGATCATATCTTCACCCTCCGCCAAATGTTAGAACAGCGTCATACTTATCAAAGGCCAACAATCGTAGTATTTCTTGACATCAGGGCTTCCTTCGATTCGTTGGATAGGACTGTTCTCTGGGATTGTCTATTGAAAAAGGGTGTGCCTGAGAAGTTTATTAACATCCTAAAAGCCCTATATACAAACACCTCAGGCAGGGCTGCTGGTCCAGATGGACTGGCTCCAGAAGTCTTTAAGGGTGGTGGTCCAATTTTAACGGTTAGGTTGACTAATATTTTAGCTAAGATCTGGGAGTTAGACGTAATTCCATCTGACTGGTCACAATCACTTATCGTCCCAATATATAAGAAAGGGTCAAAATCATCCTGTGACAACCACAGAGGGATTAGTTTAACTAATATAATATCTAAAATACTAGCCTCAATAATAATCAGACACCTAACTAAGACTCGTGAACTGCAAACACGAGAAAATCAAGCTGGCTTCAGACCTGGTCGTGGCTGCATCGACCACATATTCACCATTCGTCAGGTTCTAGAACACAGGCATACTTATCGGCGTCCGACGATGGTGGTCTTTCTTGACTTAAAAGCAGCATTTGACTCTGTAGACCGCGAGATTCTGTGGCAGTGTCTGTCATTGAAAGGCGTACCCCAGAAGTACATAAACCTTGTAAAGGCTCTTTACTCGAACACTACTAGTCGAGTGAGAGCTTATGGCGAACTGTCATCTAGTTTTGCAACCTCAAGTGGTGTCCGTCAAGGATGTCCACTTCCCCCATTTTTGTTTAACTTCATCATAGATCTACTGATGGAAATAACTTTCTCGTCGACTGAGTTCTCGAGTATTGATCTCCTTCCAGGAGGTCCACTTATCGACTTAGCATACGCAGATGACATAGTCCTGTTTGGTGAAGACGCTGACAAAATGCAGAATCTTCTGGTAGCACTGAGCAACAATGCCAGGATGTTTGGAATGCGCTTCTCTCCCTCTAAATGCAAGTTGTTGCTTTAGGACTGGTCTGCGTTAACACCTGAACTAAGTATAGGGAGTGAAGTAGTCGAACGCGTTGACAACTTCACTTATCTTGGAAGTCTGATCAGCCCTAATGGGTTGGTATCGGACGAAATCTCAGCACGGATTCGAAAAGCTCGTTTGGCTTTTGCCAACTTACGTCACCTGTGGCGAAGGCGAGATATCCGTCTATCAATAAAAGGACGAGTATACTGCGCGGCAGTCCGTTCTGTTTTAATTTACGGCAGCGAAACATGGCCATTAAGAGTAGAAGACACTCGTAAGCTATTAGTATTTGACCACAGATGCCTAAGAAATATTGCTGGCGTCTGCTGGGATAACCGGGTAAGTAATAGTGAGGTTAGACGCAGGGTATTAGGAAAGGATGGTAAATCAGTTGATGAGGTTATGAATGTTCATCGACTGAGATGGTTGGGCCACGTGTTACGTATGCCTGAACACCGATTACCACGACGTGCAATGCTATCCGGTATTGGAAATGGTTGGAAGAAAGTTAGGGGCGGCCAAACCAAAACGTGGCATCAGTGCTTGAAGTCACTAACTTCTAGTCTGAGCCATGTTGGTAGATGCAGACTACTTGGTTGGGGTCCGCGTGACTATCGTAACCAATGGTTGGAGACTCTCGGTGACATGGCTCAGAATCGATCACAATGGCGTCGGTGTATACACTCCATGTCTTCCCTTAAACTAAGAGATTAAAAGCGCTTCATATCTTTCTTTCTACTAACCAATTCTTTCTTCTTGTACTATATCTCTATATGCAATCTTTCTCTTATATATTACCACCTTTTACCTAACCACTGTTATGAATCCGGTGTTCATCTTGTTGTGCTGATGCGGTATGGCAACTTGGACCGATGCACATATGTGCCTGGTCCTACGTTGTAGCTGACTGACTGACTCAGGCAGAGTGAGGGCATACAACCACCCCTCTCCATTGTTCCATTCGAGCAGTGGGGTTAGACAGGGTTGCCCAATCTTACCACTCATCTTCAACTTTCCCATCGATGACATTCTGGAAACAGCTCTGATGGATATAAGTAATGGCGGTGTGGATCTGTTGCCTGGAGAAAGACTTCTCGACCTTGAGTATGCGGATGATATTGTCTTACTGTGCGATAATGCCCAAGCCATGCAATCCGCACTTAATCAGTTGGCAATCAGTGTCCGCAGGTATGGTATGTGCTTTGCACCTTCGAAGTGCAAAGTACTTCTACAAGACTAGCAGGATTCCAATCCTGTACCCACCCTGAATGGTGAGCAGATAGAAGTAATCGAGAAGTTCGTGTATCTAGGTAGCTGCATAAGTGCTGGTGGGGGTGTGAGTGATGAGATCAATGCACGTATAGTGAAAGCCAGAGCGGCTTATGTCAATCTGGGCCATTTTTGGCGCCTTCATGATGTTAGTCTGGCTGTATGACATCCAGTAGCAACACTATGTCCGTAATGCAGAGGTTCGGCATCGTGTGTTCGAGCACAGGGACGATAATCCAGTTGGTGTCACCATCTTGAAACACCGACTTCGGTGGCTTGGATATTTTCTACGAATGTCTTCCCAGAGAATTCCACGTCGTGCATTATTTGCCGACTCTGGGACTGGTTGGAAAAAAGCGGAGAGGTGGTCAGTATATGACATGGTGTCGTGGTATGAAAGAAATCTGCAAATGGCTGGCTTGTGTTGGTCCTTCACGACTCTCTGGTTGAGGTCCGAGAGATAGCGCAACACAGTGGCTATCAGATATGGCTCAGAATAGAAGCCAGTGGCGATCCTGCTGTAACCTTCTTTTACTTTCTTCATAAAAAAGTGGTTGTATCTTCCTTAACTCAAGGGTTTCTTCTGATTGTACCTTTCCGTTCCCCCATTATTACCACTATTATTATTACACTACCTTACACCAATCTCTTCGTTATTGTTCTTTTTTACCCTCCTTACCTTTTTTTCTTTTTCATTCTCTTTAATTTCTCATTGTTTTGTGTGGCGTATATATATTTGGCGCACTCTTTTACCAATATGTATGTGTTCAAATAAATAAATATCATGTTTAAAAACATGATGAAATCATAAGTATGGTCAAAAGGCAGAAACTAACTTCTTTCGTTAAGGTAACGTTGGATTACAGAGAGTCCACGTTTGTTTAATACATCTACATGACCACGTTTTTCAAATTCAGACAAATCTTTAAGAATAGTTTCAGCGGTTTGACGAGCATCTACAGCAGTATCAGCAATTACACCAATTGGACCACGTTTAATCCAACCAGCACAATACATTGGGCTTAAAGAGAAACTATATGAAATTTGTGGTAGATCAACTACGCGTCCATTGTTATCTTTGCAAAGAATCACTCCACGTTGTTCATCGAATGGCAAATCTGGATCAATACGGACGCCACGGTAGCCAATACTACGCACAACTAAGCCACAAGGTAAAGTTTCTAAGAGTTGAGTATCGTCTATTACACCTTGCTGATGAAGACCGGTCGGACCCTAAGATAAAAATAAAAGATGTAATGTTTTGTCTTGAATCAGAAAAGGCGTCATTTCATTAAATATAGGCAAAACAAATTACCTCGAAATGATTTAAACAATGGAAATTGATCAATGTTTTTTTAACCTGGAACGTAAGGCTTATCGGCCAAAATACTAAATTAAGAAATTGAAAAAATCCAAACAGATTGTATTATTTAGTGGATATATGCAGATATTGTTATTACATCAGCTGGAGAAACGCTAAGATTTGAGGTGTTGCTAAGTCCCAGGATAAAATGAAACAACTGTCTTATGTTTATCTCTTGGTTTTCAATAGTTCTGTGTCTAGTGTTAGTTCATGACGAAGACAATCTTCGAAGTGGACCAGTCTGCACAAATCAATGGCTACAACAATGATGGCTATGCACCGTCTCTTCAAATTGATTTCAATAGGTAAGCTCTACACTCCAGGTGGTAAGAAGATGAATATGAATAAAGACCTACATAGCCATGATGGTTACGTAAAGCAAAATAGTAAACAACGACCACATCCTTCTAAAATACATAAAATCAGTTAATATATAGCGACAAGTATTACGTTTCAAACATACAGTGATGGTCAGTCATAAATCAACCATTATACATTAATAAGTCAGGCTTCCTTTACGTCTGTCAACAATTAAAGACGTCAAATGACGTATATACAATGTCCAGTTAAGTATGAAATTTACTGGGGGTCGTATATTCACACTGCTGATAGATATCAACAAGCATAGAACATGGATTTAAATGATTCCTAATGGTCGCATTCAGCAAAGCAATCAGTAATAAGATTTTCCAGGTATTAAAAAAACAGATTTCTAGGAGGGGATAATATGGAGAAGTAATTATTTTGTCTAACTTCATTCCTGTTCGGCTCATTCATAGTTTTTTTCGCAGACTTTCTGTCATGAAGCAGTTAGGAAATAATAACGAATTTAATTCATAATCCAGTATGAAAAACTGAATTCTGTTTTCATTAATAAGATAATGGATCATAATTTGTGGTGAGAAACAAGTATTCCGTTAACCACAAGAATTCAGTGACTTCTCTTTCAGACGACGCCCACTGATAAGTAAGTAGTAATTATGACGTCGAGAGAAACATTTTAGTTTGAGAAGATAGACACAAAGATTTCAAGTTTTTTAAATTCTAATATAATAAATTTGTATTCATTTTCTTATCGAAAACATCGTTCCCGATAACGAAATTTCAGAGTTTTTAATTACCATTAGATTTATATAGGCTTAGATTGTCAAAATCTGTTTTACATACAGTGTGAAAAATTATAAATAATTTAAGCATGTGAACTAAGGAGGATGAGACTAAATTTACGATTAATAACAATAACACTTAAGGAATCTAACGCAAAATCACCGACAACGATTTTATACGGATACTTTCAAGATGGAACATGAGAGAATAAGCAGTTCTAAATATAGCATTCTACAATTCGTGTTAATTTACTAGAATCTATTTTACACTTGGAACTTCGTAGCCCGAACTAAAAGAGTTATATGATATTACATTGAATGCATAAACTTCCACACAATGCTCCATATAAGTGTGTATAACTTGATTATGATTTATTTGATTTCATATTGTAGATGCAACTCATGCGGATTGGTGGGAACGTGGCATGAAATAAAGCAATGCTTAGGTGTATTGGAAGACCGTCGCTCAAAAGGAAAGGCTATTTACGCATCACCGTTTTGCATTCTTATGACTGAAATTTAAAACTTTAATAAATGGTGATATGAAATTATCATTTTATATAATACATGGCTCTGTAATCACCTGAAGAGACGAATTATAAGTATATTATAAATCAGTATAAAAATGTCGGTATAAATAACACAACATTTACTTTTAAATCTCACGGTTACAACACTTACATTTAACTTAACTGTTGCTAATTTTATGTGAGAAACTATGGAACGATTTTTGTCAGAATGATGTTCCCCATTAGAAACAATTTCTTTTGGAAAACGTAAGAACTGTAAGTTACAATGATACACTGGGTATGCTGTATGATTCGTCTTGTGATCGGAAGAATTATGCATTTTTAACAGAAATTCTGTTAAACGACGTCGAGGGCGAGGAAGTTCTGTAAATTAAGTTAGAACGTCAACATATATGCCGTTTTGAAAAAATTGTTAAATGTAGGTTTTTGAAATCAGATTCAAGGAAATCAAAACTGAGGAACGAACAATAATGGTTTCAACTCAGCTTAAGCTTTTCCTAACTTCGTGGATTGGTTGAAGTTAGACATTAACACCGTTGGATGCCGGCTCAGTGGTTTAGTGCTCGCGCGCGAAGCCAGTAGGTCCTGGGTTCAAGCCCCGCGTGGTGCGGGGTCGTGGATGCGCACTGCTGAGTCCCATACCAGGACAAAACGGCCGTCCAGTGCTTCCAGGTTTTCAATGGTGGTCTAGCTTCAACTGACTCATGATTTCAACCTGTGAAGTTTCTAAAACTCTCCACAAAACCCATTCTTTTCTTAACTATCTATTACACCTTTATAGAACCGCATTCAGTGACTTTAGATCCTGTGAGAAATTTTATAAGTCGGGTTGTGATTATTTTTAAGTCATTATTAAGTCTTGGTACTTCTTAGGTCAAATATTTACTTATCGGAGTATTTACAATTATACGATAAAAACTCAATTTGAGGATAACAATTCCTGGAAAGAACAAGTAGAAATGTGGTAAACTAGTTATGCGTAAAATTGCAGGCTAGCCAACCACTATTTGAAATAGATATACACCAAACATTTAGATTTTTGACATAGGTGCTCCTGGTAGTAACGATCCCTTCCTCCAATTTTCCATACAATTATCTCTTATTTGAAGGCAGATTAGCGTTTAACGATGAAGTGTCTATGGTAAATGTAGAAACTAAGAAATTAGGGATGATTTGGACAAGATTTTATTAATCTTAAATGCAAGCACTGCTTCAGGTAAAGGTTGCATTAATACCTAGGGCAGAGACTTCATTTTATTGAAAACCTGAGTTACCCTAGGAAGGTTGTTGACTAAAGAAATATACATAGATTAATTTTACGACAGCGAAATGACACATAGTGTAGATGAACCAACTGACTTCCTACCGAGGAATGAATCTACTACGAAACAGTGCAATTTTTTTATCCCAAAGATAAAACTGTTGTTAACGGCAGATAACATGAAATTTAATGTATTTCATCACAAATATCTTCATAGAGCAACTTTAATGTGGCAAAGTTATCAAATTAAGCTAAATGATACGTTTTGTGTCTAAACATGGAGCACCTTCTTACAGCAACGTTCAACCGGTAAACCCATAGCCCTGACAAAACGTAATTATACACGAGCATTCGAGGCTAATCTGATAGATAGAATTTCCTATTTATCAGTATGGGGTTGTGAAGATTGTCGAGTCTTTGATCGTTATCATGAATCGACCAATGTTAGACCACCATTGAAAACCTGTTTATGCTATTCCTCACGAAAAACTAGGTATATTTTCTCTTAGATAATTGATGAAGCCAACCAAATAAATAAAATATCAGTATTTCCAAACTTAACTGCATAATAAATAGTACAGTTGATAAGTATTACCTGATAACAACTCTTGAATTTGATCAGATGTCCCCATAGTTACAGAGAATACATCCTTTGGTAGTAAGTTTATGAAACATTTAGACTGAGATGAAGTTATATGAAGTTTTGAGAGTTCGCGAATTTCTTTTAGAGTAAACGCCACATGTAAAGGACCTCTTCGACCAATTAAAATGACATTCTTAACTTTACTTCTTGACAGACAATCAATCACAGGCTCTGGTATATCGGTAGACTAAATGTAAATCCATAAATTGCAATTTAATTACCCTTAATCGATCAACTGGAGAAAGAAGAATCCGCGCAACATCAACTGCCACATTCCCCATACCAATAATAGCAACTGTTTCACAGCTGAGATCCGGAGAAAACTTATTAAACGTAAAATTTTTTAAATGCTGTTTACATTGACGTTGCTGGGTGCACCGTTATACCATCCTACTAAATCTTTAGCAGACAAAACACCTGGTAAATCCTTTATCTGTCAGATATCTTAAATGAATATACCTCTCCAGGAATATCCAAACGCCGATCAACAGCAGTACCATAAGCCTTGTAAAATAGAAAATTTATCATACTATGAAAATAAAAGCAAACCCAAATAATGACTGAATAAGCTTCTTGTAATTCTCTCAGTATAATATCTCTTCCAATGCAAACATTGCCCAAGAAAGAAAATCGTGTATTCTTAGCAACTTCTGTAAAAGTATTTATCACATTCTTGTATTAAATAACAGTAAAATAAAAATTAGCCGACAATACTTTTACTTCAGGATGATCTGGAGCAACACCATAACGGACTAGACCAAAAGGCGAAGGAAGTTTTTCAAACATATCAATATGTACACCTTGATGGTTCTACACTTGTTCGTTAGTTAACTTGATCAAGTGAATAATTACTTTTAGTAAGGTCTGAGCAGTATAAAATGCTGATGGGCCACTACCAATGATACAAATTTGAATTTGACTTGAAAATTGTCTTTTTAGTAGACGAAAAGGAGACTTAATGGCTGAATTAACTTGTTTTAAAGTTCTGTAAGATAAAAGTTTATATTTACTTAGTCTCATTGAGAAAGAAATGAATTGATTATGAGGAGCGGCCTTCTTTTGTCAACAAGAAATGAATATATCGACTGTACTTATCATGTAGTCCATCTGAAATAAGTAGGGGAAACTCAACAAATTACACAATTAAAACATAGCTCGTTTACAATATAAAAATATTTGTTGCAATTTCGGTAAAAGTGAAGATGCTATTATTAGCTTCAACCTCACTATAGTGAATGAGGCTTTTGCTAATCTCTTCTTCCCTGTTCCGCTAACTAAATTAAGAAGTTTAGTTGTGAGGAAGCTTTGTTGATTAAGACAGTAGAAATTCAAAAATGCATTTAAGATTACCCATAATATGTCGATTACAATTATTATGATTTGGGAACTGAGTAGTTTTGAATGAACACAAATCGTAGTGAAAGTCTATGAACAGAATTCAAACTAAATAAATTGGTGCGAAGAAAACTCATTTTAAATTGGTTTTGACTTTCTTCCTCCCAAGTTGTTTGAAGATCCCATACCCTCAAAATTCACCTAATAGAGTAACCAGGATGTATAGCTGACTCTCACAATGGATGGATTATAGTCTAGTGCATGAAAGTGCAAGTAGTTACTGAGTTACATAGCCATTCAACTGTCGGAAGACAGAGGGAAATCCTCAAAACTTTTATCATGAGTTTTCCACCTAACAAGTACAAAGAACTTCAGAAATATGAAGTTTGATTTCAGGTTGTTAAGGTAGTTGAGCACATTGAGCGCTTCGCGTCTCTAGTAAATTATATCAGTCTCGATCACCAAATAAATTTCAACATGAATACACAATTCTAAGTAACCGGTATCAACTTACATTACCTTCATTGTTGGAAAAGCTGAATACCTTTATTATTTTTGAGGAACAGTGGAACTACATTGTAAATCAAACTGAGTGTGTAGAGTGGGATCTGAACTTGGAACTTAATGATTGAAATTCAAGTCTTCTGAGTGATAACCTAATTCATCTGAAAAGGCTAAGTATATATAGGAACAGTATGTAGGATTCTTGAAGTTCGATGATCTTTGGTAAAAGCATTAGGCTATAAAAACATAGGGGGGAGGTTGACGAGGTGATGAGCTACAATGGAATAAACTGATGAGATTGAGAACTTATATGAACTGAGATTATTTTATCGGAAAAGCTCGGACTAAGATGAATTATTAATTTAAAAATTTAATAACAGCTAAATAGCAGGGAAAAACTGTTGACGTAGTGAATGCATTTCACGAGAGAATCTGGTTTTAGACTGAGTAATCTCACCTAAAGTAAATTTCAACGATACATATGAGTAGCTTTCTCCTTATTAATGAATTATCCTAATGATTGGTGGATATTAATTTCTTTCTTTATACTTTAGAAAATCCACTGATTTTATTCTTTAGGCCAGTTTTAACCTACTTTAATTTCTACAAGTGAAAATTTGAATCGACGAACTAATATGCTTAGAGCTTAAGTTTGTCAAGGTATACTTATAATATATAATCATACGAAATTCTTTGTTTAACACTTATGATTTGAATGGCCATAAAATAGACAACCTATCCATCTTTTTTGAAGTCTTGTGACACTTAGATCTTAACTAGTTTCTAAGGTACATATATACAATGCTGCTGATGCTTAGAAATCATTCTTGAAGATGTTAATAGTACTTCAGTACGTACTGGACTAATTCCAAGTTTTAGTATTTAGCAAGACCATATTGATTTTAAAATGGTTGTTGATCCGTGTTGCGATTTAATATAAAAACGAAGTGGATTTTAGATTTGTCATCAATCCACAAAAAATTGTATATGAATAGTGATATTTTAAAACTGTTCTAAAAAGATATGACTGAAGATTGTCCTATATAATTTTACTGGTTATTTTCGTGCTCCTTACAGCACACCGACGCCTAAATTCGAAAACTTACAAAGGGATCGTCAGATTAAGTAGCCAAAACGGATAGCCGACATGGACAAATGAGTAATGGAATACTGTTTATAACTGGATCAGCTCATTTAAGCCATTAAAACAGATGGTTTGTGCCTCAGTGTAAACATGTGAAATTCGGAAGCAAATCATGAACTTCTAAAGGTCAAATTGATAGATTGGATTGAGCGTAACTAACCAAGGTAGATACATTATTGAGGATTATGACATAAGCTACAACAAGCGTGAAAACGAGAACACCATTAGCTTAGTTACAGTTAATATTTTTGATTTAGCACTCAACGACAATTGACTTTTTTAATGTAAACGCAGCCGAAATTCCCACCTTTACTCTTAATTTATTGTAGTTTGCTTTCTAATTCTAGTAGTGTCAACAATTCAAAAATTCTACTCTTATGTAAGAGATCATTTTAACCTGAATAGCTTTAATATTCAAAAGTCGACAAAACAAAAGAATAGTATTCAGCAGAAGAAATCCTAGCAATGGCGGACTGACAAAAAAGCTATCGATTCAAGGTACTACGAAAACTTGGGATTTAAGTTTAACTTAAATTTAGGGCTAATCTGGAAAATACAAATAATTGTCTTCATGTAATTTTTTGTAGTAATAGACGGTAAGCATGTAAGTAAAGAGAAGTAAAAAATAATTAATACATTTTTTGAAGTGAGCTTTTAGTCATGTTTATATGGAGCTATTATCTGTGTAGCTGTATAGTAAGCCTGACTAATTAAAATCTACTTTCCGAATGAACCTAAAACAACCGCAACGAGTAGTCAACCAGTTGCTGACTAATCGGACAGGATTTTATATGTGGATAATTTATGGAAAATTCAACAGCAATATTGCAAAGTGTCAACCGATGTTATCTAACTAATAAGTCTATTGATTTTTTCTTACGGTTACTCCATCCATAACGATAAACTCGTCTCAGTGGATACTGTTTATCTTCTCGAACTCTTTTAAGGGCCTAAACGGGCTTCCAAGATTCCTCATATTATTCTTAGTTAGGCTCAGATAATTAGGTTAAGGGTTGGGGTCTTTTGGTCCGAAAAGAATAGGAGGCTAAGTGGCCTTTGTTAGTCCTGGGAATGGTGGTCTCTCAGTTGATCAAACTTTATTTTGAAAGCATCGACCACGTGTTGAGGTAACGAATTCCACTCGTTGATGATTCCATGGGAAAGTCGATAGTCAAATGACAAGTAATTTGTTCTGGGCTTGTGAATTTTTTTAATGTCCTCGTAAATTCTGTTTTGAAAGACAACAAAAATGAGAGCATATAAGATGCAAATTTACCATTCAGTAATTTGAAAGCTGTGATTGATTCGCCTCTGGTCCTTTTATATGATAATGTAAGTAGGCTTATTTTAACCAATCGAGCATCATACGGGAGACTTGCTATTCCGGAAGTCAGCTTAGTTGCAGTTTTTTGAGCCTCTTCCAGGAGCTTACTGTCTGCTTTTAGGCAGGGGATAGCTGCTTGTATGTAGTACTCGAGTTTATTACGAACGAATACTGTATACGAAGTCAGAAGGGTTTTAGTATCAATATGGCTGAAAGTCTCAAGTATTGACCATAAGATTCTCCAGCCTTTGACGGCTATCGCATGGCAGTGTGCGGTAGTTTTTAAGTTTTCGCTAACGATAACTTTTAAGTTAATGTGTCTGGACGAAAGATAGCTCACTGTTATCCATCGTGTATGTATTGACCACCGACAAATTTTAGACCATTCAGATAATTTCTCCAGATCATTTTGAAGCGCCGAACTATCACCTTTACTTTTTATCCCTCCATATCTTGACACCGTCAGCATATAACAAGACCGATGATGGGAGACTAAAAAGGTCATTTCATACAGGAGGGACAACACTGGTCCCAAAACTATACAATGAAGCACTCCGCTAAGCTCAGTTTCTCAGCTAGACAATTTCGAGTTCACCCGTACTCTTTGTTGACGTTCAACTAGGAAGTCCCTTATCCATATAAATAAAAAGCCTCCAACCAACTTTCACATGTTGCTTTTCAGAAAGAATCCGGTTTTTGTCAAGATACTTGAACAATTCCATCTGAATAATCTTCTCTAAAATTTTAAAAGCCACGCTGGTTAGGCTTACGGGTCAATAATCCTCAGGTTTATGTCTTGTACCTGTTTTGAAAACAAGACTTACTATGGCATTCTTCCAGCCTTTTGGTGACCCACCCTGGGATACAGATAGATGAAAACATATGTTTAAGGGATTCGCAAAAAAATATATCTTATCAAGCTTTTCTTCGTATAAGCTTGTAGACTTGCGGAGGGCCGAGGCATAAATATTTCGAGCTTCCCAATATTGAAATTGTCTTGTCAGAAGCGATATTTTTCCCCTCTTACAGAGAAGGGTGCAAATCTCTTTACTGAACCACGGTGTGGTTTCTCAGACCCCTTGCTGTAGTCTAAGGGATATGTGGTGCAGTGACTTTTATGTATGAATTTCCGAATGTGTTCCAAGCCGTTTCACTGGGGGACTTTGGTCCTAATGACCGGGCTGGTCAACGAGTTTCTATTCGAAATAATTTTATGACGGTTAAGTCTTCAGATTTTTCAAGTCTACCGTAGGTGCATTAAAGTTACCTACGATTAAACACCGATCACTTGATGACCAAGAGCTGAAAGCGTCTAACAAGACTTTACTCACTTAACAGTTTGGACTGAGGTAGACTAAAACAATCAGCGGCTCTTCTCTTTTGTATTCCAAGTGGCAATTAACTAATAAGCACGTCCCACTTCCATAGGATATGTTATCAACAACGACAAACAGGATAGTATTTCTAATGAATGGAACTACTACTAGTCCCCTACGCCTCTGGATTCTGTCGGTTTTTACTAGTGTGAAACTTTAAAAATCAAGTCCCCTACTGTCTATAGACTGCAGCAGCCAAGTTTCTGGCCTGGTAGAGTCTATCTGTAGCTCCGGACATTTGCATAACAGATTTGAATACCATTTAAATGGCTCCATGATGCACCCAAAGTGACTTCAGAGCCTCACCACCCGAAAACTTACAATATTAAGGTCATTCTTGCCACCATCTAACCCTAGTTTTACGTTTTTTCAACTTCTCATCTTTTTATATGGTCCGCGAGCAGCAATTCTTTGCGGACAAAAATCCTGACATCTTTAGTTTATGTCCATTCTGTAGTATCAAGTTCCTTTCACCAATACTTTAAGAAGCCTGGTTTAATTGTTTCAAGTCCATTTGGCTACGCAGTCTATCAACCCTTAATAAGGTGACTTCGGAGATATCCTGAGACATTAGCTACTTTAGTAAGTATTTTACCAACTCAATGTTATGCTCAAAACGAGTTCTGGGTTCTGAGCTTTCACTATGATCAGTCTTCAATTTCTCAGCTGCTATTTCAAGGACTTTTCTTTAGCAACATTAGGTCGTTTTTTATTCTTGATCTTTACCCATCCATCTACATTCATTGGAGTAGCAATTACAGTCGCGTTACACATACAGTAGTATCCTGGATAACTGTCGATAATTTAGGTAGTTAGGTTGTTGTTTTTCCAGCTAGAAATAGACCTAGCCTTGCGATTGGGTGTCCAGGTGTTTTCTGCCCGCTGCCATTTGGAGGGCAGGGAGCAGAAGAAACTTCATTTTTTGAGCTTTTATTTCTAACAGACCTCTTTGAATCCTATCCTCCCTCCTTCAGTCCGTGTAAGTTAATCGACTCTGAATTTATTTAAGGTAACTTTACATCAATTTGTATGTCGACCGAGAGAGTACCATTTAATGTCTCAACTATGCTTGCTAATACTCCTTTTAGCAGCAATCACCACAGCAATGGCTTCGCGTTCGAACAGCATTGCTGACAAAATCAAATGTAACTATTTTTACTAAGCCTTTTGAAAGCCACAAGCGTTAGATTCGTGCAAACTTTGTGATATTATCATTTGCACTCATCGCACTGCATGATGGTTTGCACAGGGTATAGACAGTCTGGGGATTGATAATTGCTTTCTCACACTGCCCAGTTGTCAGTCAGAGGTTTTAAAAAAGAAGCTGCACACAAGCAATACCCAAAGACAATAGAAAGTGATCACTATGAAAAAAAGTGGACTGAATTGTTAGAAACAAGGGTAGAATCAAATACAAGAACTACCAATGTACTCAAAAGTACAGTTGGTAAATTACTTTTTTTAAAAGGTACTTTGGGAGATTACTTTAAAATAAACCCAATTAAAACGAAAACAGTAGTCATGATGCGAAGTAAAAGGTCAAAACAAGAAAACTAACTCGGCGAAAGAAAATACCAGTCCTTTTTAAATAGCACGCGTGGTAATACGAACATAAATTGGTACGTAGTCATACTGATTTATGAACTTCATGCGATAATACGAGAGAAACTCTAAAATTAGCTTATCCACGACATTCAGGACTAAACGTCAGGATTCAGAGGTCGAGTCAATTACATACAATTGGTTATATACAGTCTTCAGGAAGAGTGAAGTGTTTGTAATCATTTTTACTCCATGGTATTAATTAATAGTTCTCATGAGAACTATTTCTTGAATAAAGCTGCAGCTTTCTTCAAGCGTTTTAGGCAATATACAAGTGTGATTTTACTTTTCATCACGTAGCGGTTCACGTCCCGCCTGTAGGCACTTCGGTATTAAAGGGGAGTGCGGAGTAGTCGATGGATAGAGCTGGAAATGAAGCATAGTTGACAGCGCAGCGGTAGCACGAAATCTACTTACACTCAGTAAGGAGATTAACAGACCCCGAGCTCCCAATTTTGAGGAAGCCGCTATAGTGAATTTTTGGGAAATGGCACAAAAACTCCAAAATTTCCACAAACATTGGTGAAAGTCATTTGACTTCGGGAGTTTCCCCAAAATACCCCAAAGATTTCCCCAAACTTGGGAGCTTGACACATTATTCAGTGGTAATGCAAGTCAAAAACAAATCTAGAGACTGAGACTAGAAGTAGGTGGAATAATGTTTTAAACACAATACATAACATAGAACCTTAGCTGTACCCAACGGTCTAGATGATCCTAAAATGCACTTGTACGGATGTCACTTAAAAACCGAGCCAGATATCTGTCTTTACAAGTCGATACTGCTGACTGAGTTTTCTATGGACTAGCTTATTTCTTTACTAATCCGAAAGTATAGTATTGTCAGATTATAGAAAAATATAATAGTTGCCACTATTTCATCTGACACCAGACGACTGATAATTTCGTATTTATGTAATTGCGTAACTCCTTATCTTCAAGCAATAGAGGAATGATCAGTAGATAGTCGGCTAAAAAGCAACATGTAGAAATGTTATGTTATGAATATTCTGTCCCATTTGACGCAAGGTGCATTCATCCTCCATGGAAATCCGCCATTGGTTGTCTCCTCATATCGCGATCTCGGGCTCGTAACCACAGAGAACTGAGACAGCAGATCGAACAATATGGAGGATGTTGAAAAAACAAATTTCTCCCTTATGCGAAGACAACATGATTTTACCACCTCAGATTTGTTCCGAACGATGCTTGAAACGTACGTACGACCTCACTTTGAAATCCACTTGTTGATCTTAGAGAAAATCAAGTACACCAAGCAGCTTCACTGCGACTAAATTAACGGAACATCATCACTTCTCTCATCGTGACAACCATCGAAAGGCTGGTCACGAAAGAGCGAACATCTATTCACGCCCTCACTTTTCTCATTAAGGGTTGCCCTTATTATAAATATTCTCCCAGTTGAAGTAACCACATCTCCATCAGTGAATAGCTTTGAGAGACCCACCTACTTCTAGTCTCAGTCTCTAGATTTGTTTTTGACTTGCATTACCACTGAATAATGTGTCAAGCTCCCAAGTTTGGGGAAATCTTTGGGGTATTTTGGGGAAACTCCCGAAGTCAAATGACTTTCACCAATGTTTGTGGAAATTTTGGAGTTTTTGTGCCATTTCCCAAAAATTCACTATAGCGGCTTCCTCAAAATTGGGAGCTCGGGGTTTGTTAATCTTCTTATTGAGTGTAAGTAGATTTCGTGCTACCGCTGCGCTGTCAACTATGCTTCATTTCCAGCTCTATCCATGAACCCACAAATTACCACGGTTGTGTATGTTACTTATGCCGACAGATACGTGGTAGCAATAATGCATTTGATCTATGATTTTAGTATTTTGTCAAGGCACTGTGTAAGTTGCATGAAACAATATATTGATTTTTCTCACCAAGTTTTCGTTCATCAGACCATCTCCTTCGTGGACCAGCTGTGTCTGACGCATGACTCAAATTACTACAATTATAATTAGTGCAAACAAGTAATTACTTCCTATGTATTTTATTATCGTCACCGTTTCCCTTTTGTACTTTCGTTTCTGTCCTTTTTACACATAATCATTTAAACAAATTATTTATTTACTCTTGACACAATCATTTCTTGCTATTTGAACCATCACTGTGTCATTTTTGCATTGCAATCAACCAACCAACCTCCTGTCCGGTAATGCGGTAGCCACTGGTACCTATAAGTCCTACTGCCTTGAGACAAACGCACACACTCAGCTACAAGATATGCAAATCTACGAATAACTACCTAACGTACTAGAATAGAGGCAGTCCATTGATCAGACTATCATGCAGTTGATATTATCAAAAACTTAGAACCATACCTAAACAATAAGAAGCGAGCGTAAAGAAGTCAATCGGATAACATAAGATTGCGAGAAAGATATTGGACATTGATCTTACTGATCTGAATGTTAGAAGTAATGTACTGTATGTAAGCAAACATTACTAATTTATTACTCTACCCAAGTCTATTTCAATATCCATGGGTTGTTACGAATATCGTTAATATGCCTAGGGTTATCAGTTCAGCCGCGACATTGAACATGAGTTCAATTGTCTGAGATGGCAACTGATGAGTGAAACTCCAGACTGGCAGTATTAATTCAACTTATTGATGAGGTATTCTCTTATTAAGTACTATATTACCTTTAAAAAAACCCAATGATTTCAAGTTTGCTTCTTGTATCTTTTTCACTGTCCAACATATTTGTAACGAGCTGGTGAAAAACGGTTAATTTCCTTGCAATCACTTCCTGATACCAGGATACATTCTTATACTTTCAATATCTTTTAAAGTCAGCAGTTTAGTTGCTCGACTGCATTAGTCCTAGTACGTTTGACAGGTATTTAAAGGTTAGGGCGATGGGGTTTCCAGGAATTACAACCACTACACCATGCGGCATTTGGCTGGTTAGTTGCAATATAAAATATTTTAGGATTGGAATTATAAAGAGATCGAGGATAACAACAATCTTAGTCAAATAATTAATACGAACATAATTTACACCCATGTGGCCGTAAATCGATACCCGAAATATGTAGTTTTGTACGTTTGCGACACTAATCCTGACCACATTAATTTTACTGGACACACAACAACTGAAGTTGCCTAATCATCTTCAGATGTTATGCCTTGATCTGTCCACCCACTACTATGCAGAGGATAACCTTTCTAAATCTAGATTAAGACATTGACGCGATAGACTGATTGGCTTAACCTTGAGGCTGGTATACGTGAGTTCTAAGTGAGACGAATTGTTTAGGGTAGAAAGATGAAAAAGATTCTATCACCTGATTGGCTGGCAAGCACGAGAGAGAGAAAAAGTCAACACTACTCGATTTATGCCTAATTCCGATCTGTTTCTCCACTCAGATCAGTGCAAAGAAATGCATTAATAAATAGATGACTAACAAGACCACAACGCACAAACAATTAGGAAAATACAATTACATCCAAAACTGGAGATTAAAAAAGAAAATAGAGTAAAAAATATAACGTTTAAATTAAAATAGTTCTGTAACAGATAAGGCTATGGCAGTCAATCGTATATGAAAAGAAAGCTCATGGTCTGTAGAACAAAATAAAATCAAAAATAAGTGCAACCTTTTTACAAGATTTGAATTAAATGAAATAACGTCCCCAAAAATAGCTTCCATAGTTTGTCAAGGCTTCTTGTTTCTCTGTTCATATCATCAGAGGATTTCTCACGACAAAGTGTAAGTCTATATCATACACGTTTTCAACTCATCTGTCATTCTCCCGGTATATATTCGACTCACGTCATTTTGATGGAGTTTTGTTCTCTGAGCTGATTGGTTCGGTCGTGGAGTTTTCATCGTTCTTCTGATCGACATCATCAGCACAAACTTCAGATAGAAGTGAAGTGTTCGAATTTCTCCATATGTGCTTCACAGCTTGTTCTGTGCACCTCGATGCTGATTGGTTCTTATTGACCTTAGACTTATCATTGTTTACTTCTTTGTTTTGGTTGTGTCTCCCATCGGTTTGATTTTTGTTCTTATATTTGTGCATGATTTTCCTGATTGGTTGATAAATTGAATCAAATTCAATGTGCTTGTTGATTGCTGATTGACCTGAGTGCCAGGCTTCTAAAAATTCTCTGGTGTTTTTGGAATTTCCTCTGTCCAAGATTTCCACATTCTTACAATCGAATGAGTTTCCGCAGTTGTCCATGTGTATTGATATAAGTGAGGAGATACGTTGGCGTTTGACTGCTAACTGGTGTTCATTTGGCGAAGGTCAAGGGGGCGTCCGCTTTGTCCGATGTAGTGTTTACGCAGTTGGCACAATTAATTTTGTAGATGATGTTTGATTTGTTTTCCTTTGTTATTTCTTCCTTTGGTTTGCATAGAATTGATTGTAGTGCTTTTGTCGTTTTGTGTGCCACACCTATCCCAAAAGTTTTCAGCAGTCTTGTTGCTGTTTTTGATATGACTTTTATGTATGGTAGGGCGATCATTTTGTTGATTTTGGTGCTTGAGTTAGGTTCTGATGTTGCGTGCGGTTGGTATTTTTTGATGCAGTTGATTTGGTAGCCGTTCTTTTGAAATGCGTCCTCCAGGTACTTTTCTTCATTTTTTTCGTGCTGCCAGTGTCCTGCACTGTGTCCTCGCCCTTTTGAACAAAGTGTGTACGCAGTTGATTTTGTGAGCTCTTGGGTTGTTGCTATTGTAGTCAAGAATTTGATCTGTATGGGTCGGTTTCCTGTACACTTGAATTCCCAGTTTTCCTGTGTCGGTTCTAGTGAATAATATATCCAAGAATGATACTTTGTTGTTTGACTCCTGTTCCATTGTGAACTTGACGTCATCGAAGACGTTGTTGATCAGCTTGTAAGAGTTTTTCAGCTCATTCATTTTTACGATGACGAATGTGTTGTCTACATAGCAAATCCAAAATTTTGGCTTGATTAATTGTAATATCGTGGCTTCTAGTCTTTGCATCACTGTTTCTGTGATCAGTTCTGATATTGGTGATCCCATTGGTGTGCCTTTCGTTTGTTCGTTGATTTTGTTGTTGAATTGAAAATATGTTGTTAGGCATAAGTCGGTGAGTTAAGTCATTACATAAATTTCCTAATCATGAAAAAAAAATAATGAGAACTTCAATAAGTACTTGACCATAGTTTAATCCAAAATGTTTTGTCTAAAAACCACTTATTAATAGTAGTATTGATCGTATCAAGCTACTAAAAATATCTTCGACCGAAAACTTTTAGAAGTAGTTCATATGGTATATATGTATAGCCAGTCTACGTGAAAAATGTATAGATTTATAAGAAGTACGGCCGACATAGTTAACTAACCAGAAAAAGACATTATAAAACTCGCCTGGGTTGCTTTTTGAATTCGTTGTATTTGCCAGTGTTAGTTGTATGAGTTTGATTAAAATCCTCAGTCATCGTTTCGGAATACCTAGCTTATGTGTCCAGTATTTAAAGAAAATATTTCACATAAGACTTATATATCAAAGGTAAAAGGTCTGGGGAATTGTAGGTGAGGCGGAATGAGGGAAAAAATTGTTTTTAAGTAAATGCAGGGTTTGATTAGCTACGTGGTTAGATTTTATCCTTCAGCCGAAACTGTCAACATCCTTGACTGACTAATCGGATGTGCCCAGCGAACCGTTCTAGTCATTTGTAAAAATGTATCATTTTACATTTCGATTCCGTAATGGATTTGTCAGTTAAACGTTCTAACAACACGTATGGTGGTTCAT